TCGCTAAACTAATAATGTAAATTTAGAAAAATTTAAGTCTGATGTTAAAAAGAAGAAATGAGAAAAGACTTGAATAAAAGGAGAAATGATACTGTTTCTGGTTAAATGGGAAGATGATAAATCTGCTCTAGTAATTTATAGAGATAATGCATTCAATTAAATCCAACAGGATTATTTATTGAACTTGAAACATAATTATTAAAGTCATTAAGATTAAAATAAGAAATAAGAGCAATAAGGAAGGACAAATGGCTCTGTATTTTCAAGTTTATTACAGAGAAAAATAAGGTAAATGATTATATATATAAAGCAGAAACATAGATCAAAGTGATAGCCCAGGAGCTGACAAAAAATAGATAGAAAATGAGTAATGTATGATAAATGAAGTTTTAAAAAAGAATAAGAATGGAAATAATAGTGTAATAACTAGATTGCTTTAATTGTTAAAGCCAACAAGTCGTAGAAAGCAGAGTAAAGAATTTACTCCCCTAATGAGAGGCACAATTTCTGACTGTAGAAACAGAAATTTTAAAAGAAATTGTACTAATTCCACAGTAAAAATTAAAAGGTCTATATAATAAATCAACTCTAAGGCATAAAGGAAACCTACCAACATGAAATTTATTTTATTATAAATTATTTTACTTTATTGTTTTATTTAATTACAAACATAATTCCTATTTGCAATAGCAAGAAAAATAATATGAAATGTGTTAAAATTGACAGCCTTCTCCTGTCCCATGCTCTCAGCTAGCCCACGTGGGCAACTTTCTTGCCTGTCTTCAAGCAACCTGCAAGACGTAAATACATTCGCAGGGGGTTCTCCTCCAGGTCCCTTTTTCCTTTAAACAAAAGCATAATGATAACTCATATCCCGACACAGCCTGCTCTTTCCTCTTAACGTTGTATCACTGCTTCAGGAGGTGACCGGGCGTTTGCCAGGGAACTTCCATCTCTCACCAAACAATGGGTTGGGGCGGGCAGCGTAGTAACATGTAATGCATCTTAATTCTTCCCATTTAAAATAATGAGAAATGGCTCCTGGAGAGGGCTTCTGGTGCAGAGCGGTCTGACTTTCAAGAACAGGTTGCTGCTGTTAGCAGAGATGCCCGCGAGGTGTGCACTAAAGGGAGCTGAACTGAGCAGAGTGGGCAGCGCACGGCAGGTCTAGACAGGCACAGGCCGGCACCGCTGCCTCTGAGGGTGCAGAGGGAGTTTCTCTGCACGAGGGAGTCCCAGCCCCTGCTTCTAGATTGTGAAACTTGGGAGGAAAACTGCAGGGACAATAAGGAAATGGCAGCAACGCTGCCTGACTCACTCAGCTGCCAGGCAAACACCCTTGTACAAAATGAGATCTCCCCGCAGAGACGAGAGAGTGGGCAGGTTGGCTGCCCCAGCTCCGCGCCAGAGCGGTGCCCTGGCAGGTGCGCTCTTCTGGGCCGAGGGAGGCTGGGGGACGAGTGCCGTAGCTGTGGACCAAGACAAGGGATGGAAAGCCGGGTGGTGAGCCCAGGACTTGGGTGGAGGTAGAAGGGCAGGACTAGGGGAGAACAGGTTGGATCTAACGAGGAAGGGTGCAGTGCCTGGGGATACGGAACGTTGCTTTGCACGTCTGAACCCCCTGGAGGCTCACTGAGAGCCGTCCAACCGGGAATAAACTCGCACACCAGGATGAGAGCGTCCACGCGGGAATAACTCGCACACCCATCCCTTAGAAGACCAACTCTCCGCAGGGGTGGGCTGAGGGTGGCTCCCGGGCGTCTTTCTTTTGCAATACTCTAGGGGCAATCTGGGGCTTATGGATAGGGAGCGCCATATGTTTTTGAAAAATATTAAGCAATCTCTAAAGTTTGTGCCTGATCAGTGTTCATATTTAAATTTTTAAATACTTTTAGAAGTGAACTAAATGAATAATTTAAAGTCCGTCCTTTCAAAATTAGTACTTGATTAATACAATTAATTATTGTCCAAAAGCGAATCCCTTGCTTTTAAAATTGTAATCCCCATGCACGTAGGTGACCAGTGCTGACTAACAGCTCGAGACATACCTGGCTAATCCAGTCTTAGCAAGTCAGCATCCATTCTCAAACTCTGTGTTCTGGTGACTTTTCCTTTCTTGTTTGCTCCTTTTCTGTTTTGTTCTGTGGTTTTGGGTGAAAGTGAGAGAGTTCCTCCCCACGGACAGCCCAGGTTATTTTTCATGCAACCATGTGATGAGTTCCATTTTCTGCATCGCTTGTTCCATTTGGTGGTTCAGATGCCCAGTGGAAGAGCCACTTTGACCCTGCCTGTTGCAGCAATTTGAGGACAAATGCAAGTTGGGGGAGGGGTGGGCAAGGAGGGCTGGGGGCAGGGTGGGATTCAGGAATGACATTCTAGCTCCAGTTGCACATTAACTTTATAAATCAAGCAAAATGATGAAAAGTTTAAAGATAATGAAGTGGCTTTGGAATTGAGATGCAAAGTATAACTGAGGGAAAGCTGTAGTTTAAATAATTACTATGCACAAAGGTAGCATATTTAACACTTAGTAATGTTGCGGAGGATTGTGGGTCAAAGTTTGTTTTAAGTGGGAAAGATCCTGCATCTATTAACGTACTTTCCTAACTGCAAAGAGAAACCAAGATAATCTTCCAAAAACAACGTAACGTTCCCCTTCCATCCCATCCCAAAGATACACACCTCAGCAAGACCTTTGGTGGTGAGATAAGAGTGAGCTGCATGAGAGCAATGTCTTTCAGTCTCTGGCTCCCATCACTGCATCTGGAATCTAGTTGGTACTAAACAGGTGTTTGTTGATTGACTATCTGAATGAAAGGATGGATGGATGAGTGAATGAGTGAGCCCACCAGAGCAACTCCTATGATCGTAGCTCCACCGACAGAACAACCCGCCTCTTTTGTGACCTCCCGCCATCCTCGATGCTGGTGCCTTTGTCCACCAACCCCCCCACACGCACCCACACACGCTATTGTGCTCAGCTCCTTTCACAGCAGTGCTGAGGAGCTGGCCACATTCCTGTGATAAGCTCACGGGGACGGCCCAAGACACCTGAGATGTCTCATCTGGACGATGGCTTAACTGTCCTTGATGTCTGAGGAGCGATCACGTGGAAGATGATCTGTTTGTCCCCAGGAGATGAAGCAAGGACCCAGGCAGTGAGGTGACAGTCCAGTGTCAGAAAGTACACTTTCGACACTGGGGGGCGGCTGTCGGGGGGAAGCATTTAAGCAGCGGCCAAGCAAGTAGTTCCCACAGTGTGTCCAGGACCCTGGGGGTCTCCAAGACCCTTTCAGGGCATCTAAAAGTCAAACTGTTTCAAATGAATGCTAAGACGTCACTTGCCTTTTGTGCATTGCTGACATTTGCGCTGACGGTGCCACGGCAGATGGGCCACCACTGCCGGCACCGTGGCAGGGATCAAGGCAGGGGCCCCAGGACAAAGTCATCACGGGCTTCACTGCCTTGTATGCACCTGCAAAAGAAGAAGTTCCATTTGGCAATGTTTTCGAGGATGCAGAAAAAATAACTAATTTTATTAAGACTAGTCCCTTGAAATGCACAGCTTTTTGATATTCTATGTGCCAGAGTCAGACGCGCCCATAAACGTGAAATGCACCAGCACTGGGAAGAGCCACATAATTCAGTGAGCCGTCATTTTCCAGTGGCCAGGACGTGAGGGTGCAGCCATGCCTGGGTAGAGAAAGGTCTGCTCAGAGCACAAGAGATTCCCTTGGACTTTAATGTGTCAGAAAGGAAAGTCCGTTTGTTGACATGGTTTCAGATTCCACATCGTAACCAGCCTTCGGGAAACTGCCACTTGTCCAGTTGGGGTATAGAATCAAAGCAGAGTATTCGCAGTTGTCTAAAAAACTATTAAAATATTTCTCCCTTTTCCATTCACATCTGCGTGATGCCATAATTTCTTCCTCTACTTCATACAAAACAACACGGTGCCAAGACTGAATACAGGTGTGAGCGTTGGCTCACTCTCATTAAGCCATACATTGAAGAGGCTTGAAAATGTACAAAACAGTAACATTCTTCTCACTAATTTTTTTTTTGTTTTGGAAAATATATTTACTATCAATAAAAATGTTTTTGTGTTAACATATAATGGGTTTACTATTTTTTAATGAGCTAAAATGCATATTTTAGAAATTTCTAAGTTTTAGTATTTACTACAGTAAATATCAATAACTATAACTCATATAACAAATGTTCTTTGGGATTCCCAAAAATTAAGAGTGTGAAAGATTCCTAAGGCCAAAAGTTTGAGACGCACTTTTGCAGGGTCATTTTAAACATGGTGGTCTCTTGCAAACCTTAGATTCTATACCTCTCTGAATTAATGGAACTAACTTGGCAGGCAGTCTTTTCTTTCTGTGTGGTAGAATAAATATAATATTCATGTCAAAGTCAATTTCTCTTAGAAATACTAAGTACATATCCTTTCTGAAATTCTCAACATTGAATTTCAAAGTCTGCTTTTTAAAATACAGGAATTATATGGTTACAGAAAAATAGTACTCTTTGGAACCCATAAAATATAGGCCTCAGCTTAACTTAAACCTAAAGCATGGGTGTGTATTTCATTCACTATTATGAACTTTGTAATTTGTACAACCCCATCCGTCTGTTTAGTTTCAAAATCTTGTGTTTATCCTAAATTTTAAACAGGAAGAAATGATTTGTGCTTCTGTCTTTATTCTTAACTCAAGCACAGAGCATCTCAGTATTTATAAAAATAAAAGGAGAAAGAAAAATACAATCTATTTTAAAGGGAAATGTTTGTCTCTAGAGGAAGGAAACGTGCCACTGAATGTCTCCAGTTCCTTTTGCTCCTTAGAGATATCATGTAGGCCCTCCATCTGCAGGGAACCCCACCCTTAATAACCATCATTCAATTAAATGGACATAAGCAGATCAATTAATGCAGTATATAACAGACAGGACTTCATTCATTTCTATTTTAATTTTCTTTTTTTTTTCCTCTGCAGAAATTTAACTGGTACATTTCCTGACTTCCCTGATGTAGAAGAAGGTGGCTCAGCTCTTATTTTTTCTAATAAGACCCCACAACAGGTACAAATATATTTGAGAAATGAACAATACAATGAATGCTTGTAAAAAATTGACAGCTTCTCGTCCCATGCTCCAAGCTAAGCCCACGTGGGCAACTTTCTTGCCTGCTTCAAGCAACCGTGCAGACGTAAATACCATCGCAGGGGTTCTCGCTCAGCCCCTTTTTCCCTTTAAACAAAAGCATCAAATGATAACTCTATCCCAACACAGGCCGCGCTCTTTCCGTCCTTAACTGTCGTATAACTGCTTCAGGAGGTGCACCGGGCGTTTGCCAGGGAACTTCCATCCTCCCACAACAATGGGTTGGGCGGGCAGCGTCAGCTAACATGTGTAATGCAGTCTTAATTCTTCCCATTTACAAATAATGAGAAATGGCTCCTGGAAGAGGGGCTTCTGGTGAGGAGCGTCTGACTTTCAAGAACAGGTTGCTGCTGTTAGCAGAGGTGCCCGCGAGTGTGCACTAAAGGGAGCTGAAATGAGCCAGAGTGGCAGCGCCGGCACGGCAGGTCTAGACAGGCAACAGGCCGGCACCGCTGCCCCTCTGAGGGTGCAGAGGGAGTTTCTCTGGCACGAGGAGGTCCAGCCCTGCTTCTAATTCGGTGAAGACTTGGGAGGAAAATGCAGGGCAATAAGCGAATGGCAGCAACGCTGCGACTCCTCAGCTCGCCAGGCAAACACCGCTTTAACACAATGAGATCGCCCCGCAGAGACGAGAGCGTGGGCAGGTCTGGCTGCCGCCCCGCGAGCTTCGCGCGCCAGAGCGGTCGCCGCTGCAGCGTGCGCTTCTTCTGGAGGCCAGGGAGGGCGTGGGGACGAGTGGCCGTTAGCTCGTGGACCAAAGACAGGGAATGGAAAGCCGGAGTGGTGGCAGCGCCAGAGACTTGGGTGGATGGTAGAAAGGGGGAGGACTAAGGGAGAACCAGGTTTGCCGATCTAACGAGGAAGGATGCGTGCCTGGGTAAGTACGGAAACGTTGCTGCTTGCACGTCTGAACCCCACGTGGGAGGCTCACGTGAGAGCCGTCCCCGGCTAATCGCACACCAAGGATGGAGCGTCCGCGGGAATAACTCGCACAACCATCCCTTAGCAAGCACCACTCTCCAGCAGGGAGTGGGCAATGAGAAGTGTGCTCCGGGCAGTCTTTCTTTTGCCCAAATACTCTAGGGGCATCTGGGGCCGTCTGTGCATCAGGGAGCGCCATACCTGTTTTTGAAAATCAGGTTCGCTCTCTAAAGTTTGTGCTCGATCAGTGTTCATATTTAAATTTTTAAATACTTTTTAGGAAGTGAACTAAATGAGATACATTTAAAGTCCGTCCTTCAGTCCAAAATTGATACTTCGATTTATACAAATTATTATTGTCCAAAAGCTGAATCCTTGCTTTTTAAAATCTGTAATCACGCCATGCACGTAGGTGACCGCTGCGACTACAGCAGAATACCTGGCTACATCCAGTCCTTGAGCAAGTCAGCATCCATTTTCAAGCGCCCTGTGTTCGTGGTGACTTTTGCCTTTCCTTGTTGCTCTTTTTCTGTTTCGTTCTGGTGGTTTGTGGTGGAAGTGAGAGAGTCCTCCACACGGACAGCCCAGGTTAATTTTTCTCAGTGAATCCTCTGTGCCATTTTCCTGCATCGCCTTGCTTCCATTTGGTGGTTCAGATGCCCATTGAAGAGCCGCTTTGACCCTGCTGCTTGCAGCATTTGAGGACAAATGCAGTTGGGGGAGGGTGCGGCAAGGAGGCCTGGGGGCAGGGTGGGATTCAGGAATGACATTCTAGCTCCCAGTTGCACATTAACTTTATAAATCAACAAAATAGATGAAAGTTTAAAGATATATGAAGTGGCCTTTGGAATTGAGATGCAAATTACACTGAGGGAAAGCGTAAGTTTTAATAATTACTATGCACACAAAAGGTAGCATATTTAACAATCTTAGTAATGTCTGCGGACGGATTGGGGTCAAGTTTGTTTTAAGTGGGAAAGATCCTGCATCTATTAAGTACTTTCTTAACTCCAAAGAGAAACAAGATAATTTCCAACAACAGACATAGTTTAGTAGGAAATTAAAATTATATACATTAATAAAAGCAAAACAGTCATTTTGGTTCAGGCAGAAAAGACATTTGATAAAATTAAATACCCATGTCTTGTTTTAAAAATTTTAAAATAGAAAGAAAAGAGTTCATTTTTAGCATGATAAATATAAGCTCAATAAAGACATGTCTTCTGTTCACTGTTTTTTCCCGTAGCCTAGAATGGTGTCTAGCACATAGTAGGCACTCAATGAAATGTTATGAATGAATGGATGGAATATAGAGAGCTGTACTCTCAAGTGGCCTTCCCAGGAAAGGAAACGACAATGTGGATGCCCTTTGCCCCTAAAAGTAACTAGTGGCACAATATAAATTATTGTTAATATAATGACATGAAAAGGAAATAAGAAATGAATATCTTAAAGAAAGCAACAATGTGTTCCTTTTACAGTCAGTGATGAACTAAATTATGAAATAAAAGTGTAAAATCTATATGAAAATTTAAGTCTGAGTGTTAAAAGGAAGAAATGAGAAAAGACTTGAATAAAAGGAGAAATATACCATGTTTCTGGTTAAATGGGAAGATGATAAATCTGCTCTAGGTAATTTATAGAGATAATGCAATTTCAATTAAAATCCCAACAGGATTATTTATTGAACTTGAAAACATAATTATTAAAGTCATTAAGATTAAAATAAGAAAATAAGAGCAATAAGGAAGGACAAATGGCTCTGTATTTTCAAGTTTATTACAGAGAAAAATAAGGTAAATGCATTATAGTAATATAAAAGCAGAAACATAGATCAAAGTGGATAGCCCAGGAGCTGACAAAAATAGATAGAAATGAGTAATGTATGATAAATGAAGTTTTAAAAAAGTAATAAGAATGGAAACAATAGTGTAATAACTAGACTGCTTTAATTGTTAAAGCCAACAAGTCGTAGAAAGCAGAGTAAAGAATTTAACTCCCCTAATGAGAGGTCACAATTTTCTGACTGTAGAAACAAGAAATTTTAAAAGAAAATTGTACTAATTCCACAGTAAAAATTAAAAGGTCTATATAATAATCAAACTCTAAGGCATAAAAGGAAACCTACCAAACATGAAATTTATTTTTATTATAAATTATTTTACTTTATTGTTTTATTTAATTACAAACATAATTCCTATTTGCCATAGCAAGAAAAATAATAATGAAATGTGTTAAAAAATTGACAGCCTTCCTCCTGTCCCATGCCTCCAAGCTAGCCCACGTGGGCAACTTTCTTGCCTGTCTTCAAGCACCTGCAGACGTAAATACATTCGCAGGGGGTTCTCCTCCAGTCCCTTTTTCCTTTAAACAAAAGCATAATGATAACTCATATCCCGACACAGCCTGCTCTTTCCTCTTAACGTTCGTATCACTGCTTCAGGAGGTGACCGGGCGTTTGCCAGGGAACTTCCATCCTCCCCACCAAACAATGGGTTGGGGGGGCGCGTAGTAACATGTAATGCATCTTAATTTTAAAATAATGAGAAATGGGCTCCTGGAGAGGGCTTCTGGTCGCAGAGCGTCTGACTTTCAAGAACAGGTTGCTGCTTAGCAGAGATGCCGCGAGTGTACTAAAGGGAGCTGAACTGAGCAGAGTGGCAGCGCACGGCAGGTCTAGACAGGCACAGGCCGGCGCTGCTCTTAGGGTGCAGAGGGAGTTTCTCTGCACGAGGGAGTCCCAGCCCCTGTTCTTAGATTGTGATTGGGAGGAAAACTGCAGGGACAATAAGGAAATGGCAGCAACGCTCTGACTCACTCAGCTGCCAGGCAAACACCCTTGTACAAAATGAGATCCCCCGCAGAGACGAGAGAGTGGGCAGGTCTGGCTGCCCCAGCTCCGCGCCAGAGCGGTGCCCGGCAGGTGCGCTCTTCTGGGCCAGGGAGGCTGGGGACGAGTGCCATAGCTGTGGACCAAGACAGGGATGGAAAGCCGGGTGGTGGCAGCCCAGACTTGGGTGGAGGTAGAAGGGGGCAGGACTAGGGGAGAACAGGTTGGGATCTAACGAGGAAGGGTGCAGTGCCTGGGGATACGGAAACGTTGCTTTGCACGTCTGAACCCCCACGTGGAGGCTCACTGAGAGCCGTCCACCCGGGAATAACTCGCACACCAGGATGAGAGCCGTCCACCCGGGATAACTCGACACCGATGGAGCCGCACCCGGGATAACTCACCCCATCCCTTAGAAGACCAACTCTCCCGCAGGGGTGGGACTGAGAGGTGGCTCCCGGGCGTCTTTCTTTTGCAATACTCTAGGGGCAATCTGGGCTTAGTGATAGGGAGCGCCATATGTTTTTGAAAAATATTAAGCAATCTCTAAAGTTTGTGCCTGATCAGTGTTCGCATATTTAAATTTTTAAATACTTTTTAGGAAGTGAACTAAATGAATAATTTAAAGTCCGTCCTTTCAAAATTAGTACTTGATTTAATACAAATAATTATTTCCAAAAGCTGAATCCCTTGCTTTTTAAAATTGTAATCCCCATGCACGTAGGTGACCAGATGCGACTAACAGCTCAAAAATACCTGGCTAATCAGTCTTAGCAAGTCAGCATCCATTTCTCAAACTCTGTGTTCTGGTGACTTTTGCCTTTTTTGTTGCTCCTTTTCTGTTTTGTTCTGTGGGTTTGGGTGACGTGAGAGAGTCCTCCACGGACAAGCCCAGGTTATTTTTCATGCACCATGTGATGAGTTCCCATTTTCTGCATCGCTTGTTCCATTTGGTGGTTCAGATGCCCAGTGGAAGAGCCGCTTTGACCCTGCCTGTTGCAGCAATTTGAGGACAAATGCAATTTGGGGAGGGGTGGGCCAAGGAGGCTGGGGCAGGGTGGGATTCAGGAATGACATTCTTAGCTCCAGTTGCACATTAACTTTATAAATCAAGCAAAATGATGAAAGTTTAAAGATAATGAAGTGGCTTTGGAATGTGAGATGCAAA